AGAGAGAGAGAGAGAGAGAGAGAGAGAGAGAGAGAGAGAGAGAGAGAGAGAGAGAGAGAGAGAGAGAGAGAGAGACCGCTACAATAGGCAGGCCGTAGGTGAGGAGGGCAGAGATGAGCGGAGGTGGAGGTGAGGTGGGCAGAGGCAGAGGTGACGTTGGCAGAGGCCTGATGAGAGGTGGGCGGAGGTGAGCGTAGGTGGAGGCGGGAGCGGAGGAGAACTAGGCGGAGGCGAGGTGGCCCTCGAGCGGAGAAGAGGTGGGTGGAGGCAGGGAGGAGATGGTGGGTGGTGGTGGAGGGGAGGTGGGCGAAAGCAGAGAGGAGATGGCAGGAGGAGGCGGAGGGAGGTGGGCGAAGGTGGAGGGGAGGTGGGCGCCGGGCGGAAAAGAGGTGGGTGGAGGCGGAGAGGAGATGGTGGGCTGAGGCCGGGAGGAGATCTTGGTCGGTGGCGGCGGGGAGCTGGCTGGAGGAGGCGGAAGGGAGATGGCTGGCGGCGGCGGAAGGGACGTGGGGGGCGGCGGAAGGTGGGAGACGGTGGCGGAGTCGAGGTGGGCAGGCGGGAGGGCCCGTTGGACTTCGATGCACGGAAAGCGGCACCCTGCATTGGGCCAGCAACGGGCAACAGCGCCACCCTGCAACGGGCCCTATTTCCATCAGGCCCGCCGATCCGGGGCGCCCGTGGTCCAACCGGCCCGATGGTCCAGATTTCCGCGCGATCTTAAGACTTTAAGATCGCACGACGATCCAGCCCGTCCGGCAAAGCGGACGGTCTGGATCGCCGCACAATCTTAAAGTCTTGATCGCGCGGAAATCCGGACCATCGGCCGGTAGACCGCGGGCAGCCCGGATCGGCCAAATCTCCCGTACCGAATAGTGATTTCGGTAAGTGTAGGGATAGAGAAGAGATACGGAAGAATACCATGGGCTGGTCACACAAACAGTGTATTGCAATTTTTGCCTGGTTCGCCTCTCTGGCGTCGAGAAACAGGGAAGGGGAAAAGGGAAGAAAGAATAAGGATGTACCAGACTATTCAAATGCCACTTATCATATTAAGAAAACAAAACAAAACAAAACAAAACAAAACAAAACAAAAACTCACAAGTTACATCTGCTAACTGTCACATGCATATACCATCCGCCAAATGGCCAGAATACACAGTAGGGCTTTTGCCAGAGATGCAGCAGTATGATTTTTATCTATTCATGTACTTTTAACCCCTAATGTTTTTATATCATCTGAATCCCATCAGGATCCAGACTCGTAACTTGTGTACTAACGGTCACACGGATGCCGCACTACTCACCAAATGCACAAAATAAGAACACATCTTCCACTAGAACATGGAAAGATGCACATCATTCTTGTCTTTTGTGCATTTGGTGGTTATTGCAGAAGCGCCCATGGTCTGCATTCACAGTAGTGACTTCAACTACCAAATTCTCAACAATAAGGCCACATACTCACACGGGGACATTCTTCAATGGTCGATCGAAAAAGGTCCACGTCCGATGCTGTTGAAAACATAGCGGGAGGAAAGAATGAAAGACAAAAACAAAAAAAAAAGAGCCAACGAGAAAAAAGTTCGTATTCGAAAAGTACATGCTCGGAATGATGTTGTACAAAAGGCAGGCGCCGAGCGAGTTGTGGATACGCCTTATACTCCCCGCACGAACTATTCCTCCCCATAACGCACAAAAGGACAACTGCCAACTAAGGGACCCCCCTTTATGGACCCCCTTTTATGGACCCCCATTACAGAACCGCCCTTTATATACAAAAAAGGTCGAATACCTGCCTATCCACAGCCTGCGCTACTTCTGCGCTACATCTTCTACCCTTCTATGCCACGAAACACAGGTCGTCGTAATTGAATGTCAACCCCGACCCTCTTACTACACACTAATACCCTCATCTTCTCCCCCCTCCTGCTCCCCCTCACCAGCAAGGCTCTGCTCACACGCCCACTTGCCCGTGCCCTTCTAGCCTTCTATGCCATGAAACATTAGGCATCGTAATTGAATGTCAATGCCAACCCTTACACACTAATGCTCACCCCTTCTCCCCCCTCCTCCTCCCCCTTACCAGCAAGGCATTGCTCACCCGACCACCCGACCACGTGCCGCACCCCGACCCCCGCGTCATCGTAATAGAATGTCAATGCCAACCCTCTAACTACAGACTAATGCCCTCCCCTTCTCCCCCCTCCTGCTAATCCTTACAAGCAAGGCACTGCTCACCCGACCACCTGCCCACACCCCGCACGGCCCCCCCCGCCCCCCAACCCGAAAAAACAAAAACTATTTAAGCATTTCAGATGTACCATTTCCTCCCTTCGCTCCAGCAGGATAGACGGAGTCCCACCTTATCCGTGCGGACCACATCATCAGATGCGACGTTTAGAATTACAGGTGAGCTTCGCGCACTCGACAAAAACCTCGGCAGGAAAGACAGAATCCACCACCAGGGTCGATGTCCCACACCGGATGGGAGCACTACTACAACTCTCTGCCAAAGGAGCAAAGTAAAGCACCACATCAATGTACAGCCAGAGGAAGAAGAGAGCGAACGACAACATCCGCAGCTTTCTCCTGTCCATCTCTTTGTGAATTCCCCGCTGCACCTGTGCTTCTTTCCAGATCCAATCTATTTTTAGACTCCACTTGCCGCTCTACTCGCAGGCATTGTTCACACGCTCGCATTCGTCTATCCATTCGCTGTACCTGCAAGACATCAACGCAGCAAAGGTACCGCACAGTCATTATAGCTGAATTCGGTGCCACTTTCTGTCTAGATACACACAGATAATCCAGATAATCCATCAGCTGTACCTGCAAGACATCGACACAGCAAAGGTAGCAATCGTCAGGCGGTGTTCATTACCACCTTCCACTGAATAGAACGTATGGTCATTATAGCAGGTACTCCGTGGCACTTTCAGCCTAGATACAGTGGTCAATATAGCAGTACTCGGTGCCAGTTTCAGTCTAGATACAACAATAACGACCGCACAATGTATTCGGCGGAAGACGGTATCCACAAAAATCCCAACAAGGTCATCGACACAAAGTTTCGCAAATACAAAACACCGCCTTTCCCCAAACACAATGCACCCTCATCATGCATGCAGCATGCCTTTGATCTTTTCGGTCCCATATGGTCCCACTGAGGGTGCTTTCCCTTCTCGGGACATGCGGTCCGGGGATTGCAATTCCAATCCCTCTGTTGAGCCTCAACTGCCCCCAGCAAAATTCTTTACTTCACGCTTTCAAGCCGTTGATCTTTTCGTTCCCATATGGTCCCACTGAGGGCGCTTTCCCTTCTTGGGACATGGGGTCCAGGGATTGCAGTTCCAATCCTTCTGTTGAGCCTCAACCGCCCCCCACAAAATTCTTTACTTCATGCTTTCAGCGACTCTATGAGACCAAAACGATCGGCGCTGTACACTAATTTTGCTGCTGCCTGTTTTGTGCTTTTTCCAGGATTAAATCCCGTGACTGGAATTGTGTTTGTTTGTCTGTGCGTACACTAACTGTGTTTGTTGTTTCCTTGTTTGGGGCGTCGCAGGACTTGATCCCATAACTTGTAGTGTGTTTGCGGGTGTTTAACGGTTTTGAGGTTTGTTGGGCTTCAACCTTGAACCAGTCCTTAGTAGTCTCTACTTCATAGTCTTAGGCCTTTCAGCCGTTTTGTTCTTTTCTGCCCTTCTAGAAACTGGTAGGCCCGTGGGTCTTCCTTTTGTGTGTCCTAGCCTCGGGTTCCCTTATAATCTAGGTGTCCATCTATATCTATGTAGATAGATCTTTGCCTGTTTGGCCATAGATGTTCACTGTTTGGACGGTCAGATAGGTCTGTAGGTGGCTGCTGTGTGGTAGGCCTCGGGAAGTCAAGTAGACGTAGGCAGTGGGTTTTCCTTTTGTGTGTCCTAGCCTCGGGTTCCCTTATAATCCAGGTGTCCATCTAGCTCTATGTAGATAGATCTTTGCCTGTTTGGCCATAGATGTTCGCTGTTTGGACGGTCAGATGGGTCTGTGGGCGGCTGCTGTGTGGTAGGCCTAGGAAGTCGGGTAGAAGTAGGCAGAGGCCGACGAATTTGGGATTCCATTTTTGTCACTTTTTCCCACAAAGTGCTGCGGGAGGCGGACCTTGGAGCTGTGCTAATTTTAGCGCCTCTTCTTCCACAAAGAAGTTGGCCACGAAAGTGCTGCGGGAGACCGACCTTGAAGCTGTGCTAATTTTAGCTCTCGGTCCTCTTCTTACACGAAAGGAAGTTGGCGCCATAGCTGGGGTTACCCAGGCTTATGCAGATCTGACCCGGGCATCAGACCCCGCCCTGCGAGGCGCATCCTACTTGCTGTCTGTTGGGGTTTAGTTGGCTGCCATCGAAGCTGCTGCACTTTTAGCGGTTCTCCTTCAACGTGGCTGATCACCATCCGCATCGTGTTGCTGCTTCTTCTTCATCATCCTGGGAGCTGCACTCCCCTGCTGAGTGGACACTTCATCTGCCGTGGACTTCTCGAGTGGTGCAGAGAGGGGTGTTCGATTTAGGTAGGGCCTGGACTTCTCNAGGTAGGGCGTGCTGCACTCCCCTGCTGAGTGGACACTTCATCTGCCGTGGACTTCTCGAGTGGTGCAGAGAGGGGTGTTCGATTTAGGTAGGGCGTGTTGGCAGTCGGCAGGGTAGATAGGTTGGGTGCTCGCAAGCACCATAGCTAGAGCTTGAGGAAGACGGAGGAAGAGGACGACTCCCGGATACTCCGATGAAATCTCGTAAATAATTGGTCCGTGGGTGTTGACGACGTGGTTGGGATCGTTGGAACAAGTACACTGGATTGATTGGAGGAGGACAAGGGATTGCAGAATTGATTGAAATTCGGTTTTTCAATTCTCTGTGTATTTTGAGCTTTCCGCTGCGCATATCTTCTCTCCGGTTTTCTGTGGATTTGCCTCCTTCGAGTCTACTCTGCAATGGCATGCGTGTATGGGAACGTGTGAATTCGTTGTGGACTGAAGTCCAATTAGGTACATAACACGTTCACGCAAAGGTTCGTTACGTTCTCGGGACAGGGTGTCGGGGGGGGATTTGAACTCCAAACGCTCTGTTAAGCCTCAAACAGCCCCCACGCAATTCTTTACTTCAGCGCTTGCAACTCCGTGATGCCTTCAGCCCCTCTCCCATAACAGCGTAATCAGACTACTTACCTCCCCCCCCCCCCGTCTTCCCACGTAAAGACGGCAGCACACGAATCTCGGAGCAGCTGACTTGGAGCACAATCACACAAGCACTTTCCTAAATGTATCTTCACGGCCAGATTCGTCCAGACAGACCTGGACGAATCTGACCGCAATGATGTCCAGAGCTTAGTAGAAAAAAGTCCCGGTGTGAAAACGCCCTTACTGCTGTCAGATACAGTCGAAACAGTTTTGGAGAGAGTATGCCCCAACATCGCTCTCTCGCACAAAGTTCGAACGCGAGCGAGCTCAAACCACAAGTTTCCCTGATGTTCTGACCAGATTCAGTCAGAGCGGAAAGCCGTAGGCAGAGAGAGATAAGAGGACAACAAACGAGGGGCTGTGACAAACTGTTTCGTCAGAGTTTCACCGACTGACTCATCATCAGGAGGCTGAACCCTCAACAGTCTGCAGAATCCCCTAACTGACTGATTACACTGTAAGTGATAATTCACCTTAACCCGGTTGTTGGGGTTAAGCATGCATCAACAACTGCCCGACAACTCCGATACCCCTCTGAGGTGGTGGGGACCACCAACCACTGCCCTCAAGGTGCCTGTGACGAAAATCAAAGCAGACTATCACTCATCCACACCAGATGGAAAACTCTACACACTGTCGGTTCACACCCCATCATATATCTTGTCACACTGTAAATCAGAGCGCCAAGGCGAAAAAAAGCAAAACAAGGAAAGGAAAAGCTTCAAGGAACCCCATCATATATATCGTCAAACAGAACTGTAAATCATCGGCAGAGAGCAGAGAGGGAGAAGAGGACACCCAACGAGGGGCTGTGACTATCTGCTTTGTCAGAGTTTCGCCGACTCATCAGGAGGCTGAACCCAGTTGCACGAACTTGCAGAAAACGATCACGCCAACTACACGACAGCACGGACTGGCCAAAAAAGAAAAAAAAAGAAAAAGGGAAGGGCAGATGGCATGGCTGCTTACACGTCTATCGGCTCCGTGAGACCTGTTGAGCAGCGATGCGGAAGAATACGACCACAGCGTAGTAGTCAAAAGAGAAAACAACAGTTAAGGAAACAACACCGACGTCTTGCTAGCCAACAGCACAACGTGGCTACCACAGACAACAACAACACACAAAACAACAACAAAAAAAACGTTTCTCCATTTCTTCGCCAACAGCAATGTGAGTACCACACAAATTAAAACACGTTTTTGGATTTCCTCTCCCACATTTCCTCCATTCTCATTTGCTCTTCTTCTTCTTCTTCTTCTTCTTCTTCTTCTTCTTCTTCTTTTCTTCATCGCCACTTCGTTAATACGACTCCCTCGTTTACCTCCCTAACCCTCTCTAAATTGCCCTGCTGCGTCTACCTCCTCCCCCCAAGCTGCTTCAAACACACGTTTTTGGATTTCCTCTCCCACATTTCCTCCATTCTCATTTGCTCTTCTTCTTCTTCTTCTTCTTCTTCTTTCCTCTTTTCTTCATCGCCACTTCGCTAATACGACTCCCTCGTTTACCTCCTTAACCCTCTCTAAATTGCCCTGCTGCGTCTACCTCCTCCCCCCCAAGCTGCTTCAAACTCCACCTTCAACCCCCCCCCCACCCCCACCCCCCGC